GACTACAGAGACAGAATTTGGAAAAACCTACGCGATTCATATGTCCGTGTGCTAAGTGGAAATGGGAAAAAAAGGGGAGCAGGTGTGGATGAAATTGCACACTATCCGTACTGTTACGAACGTCCCGACTAATAATAAAATGGCCGCTTTCAGTTCAATTGCTCGTAACAAAAGGAGTAAAACCTTGTGGAGAAGTTGTTGTCAATTCGTAAGATATTTATTTAATATACTGATAATTTTGATATAAACGTTATACTATAAATGTTTAAATGTTCAATCTTATCTAAGACAACTGCTTTCAGACTTTCAGTGACTCTTTCGTTGATGGATTGGATATATATCTGTATTTTTTGGTTGTTTTCGTAAATAGTTCGTTTTCTTTTACATGAGCTTTCTTCTGATGTGGACTTCTACTAAGCACCAACATAACTACAGCTTTCGATTCTCGGCTTATGTGTGATTGCACAATGACGTACGATTAACCGCTTTTGCGTAAAACTGTGGTCAGTTGATTAACCATGTCCTGTACGTTGTCTGTGTGGTCAATAGGGTGACCACGTCCTATACGTAAGCTTTTCCTGTTATTGTGGTTAACATACACATGCATGTATGAGTAAGGCATTTTACAAAGAGCACTAACTAGTTAACTAATAATATATTTAAGTATATAACAATAATAAGTATAATTTACATGATAATTTACTTTTCTAGGCATGTCCAATGCATTCCAGTTCATTTGGAATGTTCACCATATGGCTTGTTTTCTACAATGGTGTTGAAATAAGAGAAATCCCCATTTCCAAACATGTTTCTATATTTTAGTTCTCTAGTAGATAGCGATTTTTGGAATAAACGCAAGCACCTGTTGCCTACATACTGTTTGCACTTCCCACATGATTGATCTTGCAGGTGTGTGAAGCATTCCATTCTACAAATCTAGGGTCATCTTTCTTCTTTTGCATTTGAGACATTGGGTACACTTGTCTGACATCACTTGAACATCAGACATTCCTTGAGTCTAAGGAGATTGCCGTCACAACACCATTGTGAGAAGCATGACCCCTCTTTTGCCACGTTCCATCAATTGAAATCCCACATTCACCATCATTGTAGGCATTCTCCTCCCTCAAATTCATGGCATTCCTAATCATGCTGTCATTTGACAACTGTTTTACCACTGGCAAAACCGTATTTTGGATTTTGATTACAATCCGACGAGCTGGTGGAGCAGGCATATTCATGAGTTTGGTAAAGGAACTCATGGCACTTTGTCGTCTGCCAATGTCTCTAAATGCTAGAACTGCTATAACATTCATTTCATTGGAACGTCCTTGCTTTTTTGACGCGTTAAAACAGCACTTCCATTCACACTCCAAGCTTTTACATTGGAGCAAATTGTAATATGAGAATCCATTTTTTTCTTCATATCAATATATGATATCAAATCGCCACCACATTTCAAAATATCGTCAAAAACAGTGAATAAAATGGACATGTCCATAAATATTGTACCCTCCTTTAGATTAGCATACTCGGGGGCTAGAAAGCAATCAAAATTCGCCGTATTTTTACAAATTTTTTTGGCAGAAGGCCCAGGATCTTTATAAACGTCACCACCATCTTGGAAAATTTTTTGTTTCTTTGATGGTGTATGCCTCGCCTTTTTTCTCGATTTATTACGTGAATTTCCCATTTATTAACATTGATATATTAACAATAAACCCAATAAAAGATATTTGAGCAGAGGGCAATTTTTCAACTAAGAACTGCAAAAAAATAAAACTTTCCGATACACCTTGACTCACGCAACGAAATGGACGAAGGTTATTGAACGAAGATTATCGAACGAAAGGAATTGTAAATAAAATAAACGCCTTTCCGTCATTCAAGCTGACAAAGCATGTGATGGGAGAACTTTAAAAAGCATATACCAAACGTAGAATTTGATAAAGCGTAGGTTATGCTGAATTATACGAGGAATAAACTAATTATATGGATAATATAATTATGTGGATAAAACATGTTGCTAAGGCGTCGCTATGGAGGGTATTTTAACTCTTGTCACTTTAAACAAATTTTAAACATATAAAAAATATAGATACTACAAAACTAATTGAAAATTTATAAAATCTACAATTTTTAAATTACCTAAAACACATGAAAAAAAACCTCAAAAAAATTTGGAAAAATGACTTTGAAATTTGAAGATGAACGACTACCTTAAGGTTCACAAAACGACACATTCTAACTCACCTCAAGATTTTTTAGGGGACCATTCCATGGACATTCTTTGTTATTTTTTAGTGTACGGCATTTGACATTTAGCTGATTGATTTCTCTTTTGGCAAAGTTATCGGCGTATATCTGAGTGGTGAAAATAGAAAAAAACACGTTGAAATAAGAGTAAATCGTTACAATAAGACTATTAAAAGGCATGGGCAATGAAAATAGCGATCTTCAAAAAATCATCTTGATTGACAAATTGTCACTTCATAAGCATTAGAAAATTTTTTTTGATTACTGAGAGCGTTTTGGAATACTTACCGGGAGGATTTTAACTTTCCGTAGACTGTGAAATTTGCCATCTTGTTTCGGATAACAATATGATAATTTATGTTGACTATTCCGTCGTGACGTTATTTGCGGGATGCTCAAAATTTTTACATGTTTTGGTTTGTCGAATTCCGACTTTAAAGCAGTCACTTCATCTGTTTTTCCGGTTTTCTTCTCAATCCTCAATACTAAGAAATAACTACTATATTGAACTTATCAAAACACGTTTACCCGCAAGTGACGTCTCTTCCTTTCTCCTGGTAAGTACTCTAAAACGCCCTCAATAATAAAAAAAAATTTAATAATGCTTATGAAGTGACAATTTGTCAATGAAGATGATTTTTGGAAGATCGCTATTTTCATTGCCCATACCCTTTAATATACTACAAAATTTACATATTAGTAAACCACAGAAGAAAAGAACGTGAGATTAATGTGTGATAGCGTAAATCTTATCATCTAAAAAGAGTAAGAACACACAATATACAGCGCGAAACTTCATTAACATCCGAAATATAGATTGTGATTTGATAGGCGGGAAACAAATTTGTAATGTGAAAATTAATGCCATTTTGGAATTATGATAAAAATTTTATTCGATCGATAGTAAAGTCATCAACAAATAATATACGTACAAACAAATAAATTTATATAAACGTAAGTTAAATTACGTACAACTCGTGCGCAAAGCTGGAAAAGCTACTTTTTTAATGAAGAGAATTTTGACACTTTTTCTAACATCAATGTAACCAGGGATATACCGGGCGGGAAGCGAATTCATGTTATAAATATTAAAGCCCGGCAAAGTGCTTTAAAAAGAGCCACTCAACACAAAAATGACGTATGGAAAGGAAGACCAAACTTTACGCTACTAAATAAATATTTCTTTTTTATACTTCATTTTTGTATTGAATGGCTCTTTTAAAAGCACTTTGCTGGGCTTTAATATTTATAACAACATCAATTTAGCCCAAAAATAAGCCCAGTAAAATAGTACAACGAAATAACCTGTCACCCGCAACACATTGAAGGCAACTGCGATCAGAAATATGAAGGAAGGTAACGCGAGCGACGTTAGACTAAAGTGAAGTATTTTAGTAGCATTTTTGCTAATTAACACGTAGCTCACTCTACTTACCATTTGGATGGTTAGGTGTTAGCTGGTATGACTCAGGGGTGGCCTGGGCACCAAAACTGTTCCTTGCGTCGAGATTAAGATTCATGTTCCTGACATCCGAAGCTGACCACCCCTTCCCGACTAACACCTTCACACCGATATAGTGGAAATAACGATAGACATAAATAGACAGACAACAACAAGAAAAATAGGTACGTAATGCGTACATGTGAGTAGCCGATCAAGTATGTAGATTAAAAAACATAACTCAAAAGAGTTAAAAAAAAGTGCTATGTGCTCCCTGAATAGTCGAACGACCAAGAAACTTTATAACCTAAACCCTTTTACCAAACACCCTCCTCTAGATAGCATGTCACGTGACAGTACTCACATTTAGAAAAGTGAAGTCCACAAGATTTCTTAAAAATTTTAATGATGAATTTATTATCATTTAATTTCATCCAAAACCATTTTTGGGATGAATGCTTAATCGTCAACGGCTTTTTTAAAAGCCCGTTCACACGATCTTATTTGCTGGATCTGACTGTCTCGGTTCCGATTTTTGGTTTATTTTTTAGACGGTCCGATAATTTTGTTGATATTTATATTGGTTTACATGTTTATAGTCGTGTAAACAGCCATTTGTGGTACTCAGAACATTTATCCATATATATTTTCCAACTTTTGTTCCTGTTTCCAGTTCTTTTTCAAATCTATGTTATTTGGTTAGTTGGCTGCCTTTGATCTTGTCGGATGAAAAAAGAAAGTTCTAATTCTAACCGATTTTTTTGATTGACGGATCCGGCTGTCGGAGACTCATTTTATACGTGTTCAAATCGGATGGTGTGAATGGGCCTTAAAACAGTTTTCTGACGTGTATGCCTTACAATTAAACGATAATCCAACACGTCTATGAATTTTTAGGATAGCTATAATTCCGAAAATACCGCTCCCATTGTAGGCACTGTTTAATAGTTGAAAGGTATTAAGGGCCTGTTTATATGGAGCCGAGTTACCCGGCTGAGCGAGTTACTCGCCTAGCCGGGTTTGACAAAGCGATCGCCGAGTTACCCGGCAAATGCGTTTATATGGAAAAGTTCATCCCGCCTAGCCGGGTAACTCGCTTACACAAACCGAGTTACCCGGCAAGGCGAGTTACTCGGATGTGTCATATAAACGATTCACCGGGAAATGCATTCATTTTATATAAGGGCCGAGTTACCTGGCTAGGCGAGTAACTCGCTCAGCCGGGTAACTCGGCTCCATATAAACAGGCCCTAATAATGCTTCGAATTTCGCACATTTTTAATTGATCGTAAGTACTTGACTGTTGACAAGTGCCATATTCCATAATTTTGATAGTCAATTGACGTTATGTAAATCCCAAAGAAATAATAATTGTAATTCGTACAAGAGTCAAAAGCAAAATAAATTTATTTGCTTAGCGTCTCTCATTTAACTAGCCAACAGACTAAGTAAACTGAGCAATACCTAAACAATGCTAACAAGTACTAAATCGGACTAATTATTAAATTATATGATCGCCAGCGAAGCATTTATTTGTATATTATAAATCATTGCCCAATCCGTGAATACATTTCAGGTTTCGTTCGCTATGAACGAATGAATAAAGGCAGTGTCACACATATGTACGTTTTATACTGTTTGGGCTGCGTTGTTTGATGTTCAATTAGCTAAGTTATGAAGATGATTCCGACGAATTTTTCTCGATTGTAAACAACGAGGATAAACGTTTCACACAAAGCAAGGATTTCGATGCATTGTATCATGTACTTCGATTCACTGCCACAATGATAATATTACGCAGTACAAGAATAAATTAATGCCGTAAACTTTAGATCACAAAGCACAAATGAGCAATCGAGGTAACAAATATCACCAAATATTTCAATCACAATAGACCTTTTCAAGGTTATAGCTGCCATATTGCAGGGGGTGCAAAAACATTGGGCGCGGTCACGCATGGCGTCCATATAAATTACTAATAAATGCGCAAAAATTACCCTTATACATATTGGCCGTTTCTTTCAAAAATATTTCTCAAACTCGTCCATTTTAATAGTCGAATTATTATTTGCGATTTTTTATACGCGTGAGTCCAATTTTGTGGTAATCAAAAAGCGGAAAGTTAAAGAAAACATTTGTTTTCTTTGAACAACTTGACCGTCGTTTGAGCGATGTTCTTGAGTTTGCAAATGTACGGAACTCATAAGCCAAGTCAAACGAACTAAACCCTAAACTAGCCGAGTAGCCGTGAGCAGTCATAGCCAATATGGTAAAAAATGCGCGTTGTGCAGTTGGATATTGCGATAATGATAAACGCTATCCTGATTATCAAGTTAAGAGGTCTCACGTAGAAAAGTTAGTTTTTCATAAGTGGCCCAAAGATCAAGCACTTGCTGAAATTTGGCGAAAACAAATTGCTAACAGCAGAGCCGATGACTTTAACCCAAAGCCTGGTGCACAAGGTACTTTCATTTGCTCAAATTATTTTCCCTTGGGAAGAACCCCAAATAACTGCGAAATGGATTATCCTTCGGTTTTTATTACGCTATCAGAGTACGAGCAATCGAGGACTCCGCTTAAACGTAAAGGAGGAGAAACATGGAAGACATCAAAGCGTCCTCATCAATCCTATGACACCGAGGATTCTGATTCAAGTTTTGATGGAAATCCAGCAAAATCGGAGGCATCTTTATTCCCTGTCCCTTAGGAATTTGAACAGTTGACGAGAGTATGATGTAAGGTTTCACACCGGCCTGCCATTGACTAACAGTTTTAAGTGTGTATTTGAATACTTGGCTGTTTCTTCTTCTGGCTGTTTAGTCGCCACACATAATAATAAAAATAGCAATGTCGCTTTACAAATAATTGGAAATACTAATAAGAGTTTGCCGTAGAATAGTTCCTCGTGATACTTGCTGACTTTGCTGTAGACATGTGCGTGTGTTGCGAACTCAAGAACATCGCTGAAACGACGGTCAAGTTGTTAAAAAAAAAACAAATGTTTTCTTTAACTTTCCGCTTTTTGATAACCACAAAATTGGACTCACGTGTATAAAAAATCGCAAATAATAATTTGACTATTAAAATGGACGAGTTTGAGAAATACATTTGAAAGAAATGTCCAATATGTATAAGGTAATTTTTGCGCATTTATTAGTAATTCATATGGACGCCATGCGTGACCGCGCGCTCGGCCGAATGTTTTTGCACCCCCTGCAATATGGCTGCGATAACCTTGAAAAGGTCTATTACTTGAATGGCGACATTGCATTTTAATTTAATTTACTACAAAGTTTGATTTTGCGTCACCGGAAAATTTTTCTAAGAACAATGAGAAAACAACGAGTAATAGTTTAGTTATCAAAGCAAACAAAAAATTTGCACTTCACTCAATTTTGTTTCCTGCTTACTTATATGTTTGTAAATGATGATCGTCCAGGTTAATAAAGTCCTGAGAAGGACTGTTTTTGTTGTTGTTGACTGACGTTTCGACAACCTTAGCGGTAGTCATCTTCAGCTTGCTTACTGCTATCATTCATCCTGCTTACTGCTATAAGTTCTCGCCGTCGCGTTATAAATGGTTATGTTTGACTCTTGAGCTTACGCCTCATATACCCCTTTCGCAATTATTGAAAAATGCGTGGTTTTGCTTGTTTAAAGAAGAAATACCATCACAGAAATGTTTTTTTTTTGTATTTATATAAGGCATGACTTCATGTCGTACTTTGAAAATTTAATGTTCATTACCTCGTTTGTATTGAGCTGTTGATTATCTGAAGGGCATTTCGCGCCGTTTAATCTGTAAAAAATCTAATAATTAGAATAGAAAACACACTTACAAGATATATAAATAAGGACCATAGTTTGGGAATATTGGGGGTAGATTTCACCATGCAGCCACAACTGTCTATATGGGGTATATCATAGTTAAACGTTAACTGTAAACAAAATTTCTTACGGAAGAATTTACTTGAATTTTAAACATCAGAGCGTGAGAAAATTTGTCTTACTTGCAACTGCTCAGGAATGTTCTCTCACATTATTTCTCAGCCGTCATATTCATGACATTAAAAGGCTTTAATTTTTAACAGAAAAATAGCATTTTCATAAAACACGAAGCTACAAAAGCCAAGAGGCTAATTCTGATTACCTATCTGGTACAAATCCAAAACTATGATGAATCAATGAATGAAATTCAAGTGTCCGATTTTTGAATCTAATATATATAGCTGTAACCAATTTATAATAACTTAACGAATAATGCATTCACAATTTATTGATTAGAGAAGTCGAAATAAAATAAGGGAAGCGAGTTTCTAATAAAGTTAAGCATATGAGGCACGAGAGTAAATTGTAGCAAAATCATTACAATGCCACATAATAAATTATTACCAAAAGGGTCACTCTCGAACGTTTAGTCCTCACGGATGTAACAATATATTTAAAGTATCTTCCACTTCAAAAAAAACCGGATTAACATGCGTAAACCAGTATTACAAATCGGTTGCTTCTGTTATCGTTCTACTTGCGTTCAGGTCGAAATCTTTGATGAAATTGCATTAAAAGTTTCTGAAAAAACACATCAGTGACAGTAAATGCCATAAAGGAGCACGTAAAAGCTTACCGTATGTGCTGATTCATGCATCCGTTACAGAACCGATGACCGCAAATCGTTTGTACTGGATTGCGAAGTAGCATCATGCATATGGGGCATTCGTAATCCGAGTTTGGCGGTGGATCAAATATTTCATCATGACCTTCAATAATTTCTAAAGAGCTATTAGCCTGACTGGCAGGAGGTAAATTTGGTTGGCGACTGGCGTTGCTGGAAACAGGAGAAGCAGAGGCCTGAGAAGAAGATGTGTAAGAGACTCGTGATGGGACATATGCCTCATTTTGTTCATTAATCATTCCAACAACATCATTGGCCAGATTAACATAATGTTGGTTTGACATTTCAAATACCTAGAGAAAATCAAAAATCACTTTGAAGCCCTAACAAAATTCTTTTATTCAGAATGTCCCTCATGGACAGGTCCAAAAGCACAAACACTATCAAAACCATAAAACACTTTCATGAGGTTATACAAATAAAATTGAATTATTTACTAAAATGTCTCAGAGCTTAAAACCACAATGCACCAAGTTATTGTTAAGATCATCCTGCATTCTTATAGAAGTATTTTTTAATAATCTGAAGGGAAAATCATAACATCACAATTCAAATTCTTAAAAATTTTTATGCAAAAATGGTTAAAGACTAAATGAGAAGAAAAATGACCACTGCATTAATGGTATATTAATTATAAGGATCATTCATCAATGTATAATCAAAATAAGAAAGTCATCAAATATATCAAATTTATCAAAATAAAAAATTTATTATTAAAATTCTTCAAGAAAAATTCAATAACTTAACTAGATTGCACAAAAACAAAAAATTTCAGGTGAGAGAAAATAGAATTTCAAAACAAATATTTTCTCATTTAGCTAAGATATAATATTGTAAGGGGTTTTTGGCCAAAATTACAAAACTAAATACAAAACACAAAAATCCAGCAAAGTTCTGATTTTAAAGGGTTTACATGTTTTAATTTATATAACAGTTATTTTCGAGAACATCTGTCAAACAGTTTTATGATAGACATAATGCAAACAATATGGTAAGTCAAAAAGTGCTTTCTGAAACTGCCATAACTACTCAATGTATATTCTGAAAGTATTTGCAGCAGTGTAAATATTAATTGTACGAAACAGAGATTTATAATTTGGTTAATAATCAAGAATGAAAATCAATTCACATGATTACATGGCAACAATTTGTGGCCTACATGGACTTTTAAACATCCTTGACAAAATGCTGCTTTAGACAATAGTAAAGCTAAATACGATAAAATATTGTTTCTTAATAGTAGAAAATACATGATGTTAAAAAAATGACACTAAGGTGGACAGTATAGGAAGCATAAGATTATTGGAATAAAGCAACACTACAACTACAGCAAGTCAAGGAACAAATGGAAATTCTAAGGGCTGCTTTGGCGAACTATAACCTATTTTTTACATAATGAAATTAAATTATATAAATCAACAATATACAATTGGTTTTACGGAATTTCGCGCATCATAAACTGAAACAACGTCTTTGCTCATGCAAATTATTGGAAAACTTACAATATTCGACGACGTGATAAAGTTTAATTGATCATCACCAACCTTTTCTCACATAAAATATAGATTACTTGAAATTCTGAAACATAGGGTGTTTTCTTTAACTATATACAAAAGATTCGTCCAAAACAGTAAAACTTTCGTCCAAAACAGTAAAACAGTAAACAAACAGTAAAACTAAAACTATCGCTATGCGTGGTTACTAATCTAGTAGCACAGAATAGATACAACCCATTGAGTTCTATAATAACTGGTGCGGCTATCTCAAGCGCGGCCTTAGATATCTGATGACGCCAAAAAAAGGGCGGATTTCGTCCGTTGCCGCTGAGATTTACCGAAATTGATCGCTTTTCTGAAAATTTCACAATTTCCCACTCCCTCCTGAGGAAAGAGTGAGGAAAATTTATGTGTGTATTTGGGATTCGGCAAGCAATTTTTTGATGAAAATCAAGGTAAAAACCTTAAATTCATAACAGCGAGTCAACTGTGGTTGTCAGTTATGTGCTCCTACGAGGATGCATTTATAACTATCGACGAAAGAGCTATATGTCGGCTACACATGTATGAATGCAGATGTGCGTCGTTTTTTTACCAGCGTCAAACTTGTTTGATCGATTAAACTCTTTAGTCTATACAAAAAAGTATATCACAGTTCATCTCCACGGTTCACGAGAGAAGTTAGCTTATTTGTTATCATTGCTATTTTGCTTCTTTTCATGATGCAATGGGCAATGGCTTTTTCGCCACAATTGTTGGATTTTACTTGTTTCTTTAAAAAGTAAATATTAAATCTCTGGATATTTACGGATTTTCTGTAATTGAGTTTCATATTAAATTTCAAAAGACTCAAGTCTGCATAGGTTTGGTAAATGAAAACAAACAATATTGTATAGAAATTACTTTAAGTAACCTTTTTGTGATGTTCTGACATTTTGATTTTGTTGTATTGATATATGAATTAGGCAAAATGCAAATAATCATCAAAACACTTATGCTTCCAATGGTGTTTATAATTCATTTGTAGTTTTAATACTACTACCTTTCTTTTTCACTTTGTTTTGTTTTTCCTATATTTGCAAATAAGTACACAATTTGAATGATCAACACAGTTTTCACCTCAATAATAAATTTCATAAGCAGTTGGTAGTGCATTTTGTTCTCTGAGTATCCACATCAGGTGTTTTGTTCATACAAGAATGATGAAGTGCAAGTAGATATGTCATAGCAAGGCAATAAAACCAAATGAATTACATACCTATAGGGTACTTTTATGCTAGAAGCTTCAAAGCTTTTTAGAAATTATAAAGTTATTGGATTATATTAACCATATATCATCAATCTCATGAAAAGAAATAAGAAGCAAAAAATTTGTAGGAAAGCTTTGAAAAGTGAAAAACTTTTCTTTAAAAAAGTAGCAATAATGCATATGATAAATCTCCATTCTGTACTTTACTAGGTAAATAAGCTCAAACTGTTTCTTAAAGCAAAAACTGTTATAATGAAGAAATATACAGTACAGTAACTTTAAAAGTTTCATCAATAAATCTTTAATGCTTCAGTGTAGTGCATTAGATATTAGTAACATTTATACAACACTCAACTAAAATATTTTGATAAAGATATGACATGATTTAAACATTAAGTTATATAAAACCCAATGGCTTATACAGTTTGAAGCTTCACATTTGCATCAAGTCATCATCAATCTCAGTACAAATGTTTACATAGACACATCCATAGAATTTGACCATGATCAAATTAAATAACTCTGGAGAGGGCAGACAATAAATCAATTATCTTTACAGCATTATCATTTTTTTAAGACTCTGCCTGGTCAATAACATCTTCCAGTCATCTTTACTCCTTAGTCTTCCCTGCATGTTGTCAGCAAATAGAACATAACAAGCTCTGCTCCAAATCATGGGTACTCTTGGGGCTTATCATTTCGTTTTGATACTTACTCACAGAGCAAAATGTGTGCAGGGTCTTTTTTGCTTTAGGGAAACTATTTTGCAAATAGATGGGTAAATTTATGACTTCATGCATTAACAGAATAAAGAAATATACCTACTTTCTTTGCTTAAAAAGACATCGTAGTCGCGACTACGAATTTTTTAAAAAACATCGTACTCAGATTGATGACGGCTACGTGTTTTTGTTGTCGCAACAATGTTTTCGCGCCAAAATGACGTAAATCGTACTCGCAGTCGTACTCGTAGGCTCTGCTAAAACTCCCTATTGTCATGACGACGCCGGTCAGCTTTCAAACGAACGCTTTTAGTAAAATAATTCATTTAAGTAGTACTGAAACATATAATCTTGACCCACCACAACTAGACCTGAGTATGATGAAATTTTTTTCCAGGAAAAATGGGACAGTATGACAAGGAAATGGAAAGATAACAAAGCTCTGGTGCAAGCTGTACGATTATTTCTCGTTGACGAGGTATCTAGCTGTGACTAACTTTATAATAATGGTAGCTACTAAACATGGTGTCCCAGTACATGTACATCAAACAAATAACGTGCAATCTTTTTTATATAAAAAAATAACCAGGTGCATTTACTGAACGACGAGTCACGTGGACCAACAATGGAAGCAGTAATAAGCAGAATGAAAACGGTCAAGACTACAGAAAGTCGAATCAGTCATCGAAAAGAAATTTTAGGAACAAATATAAGATTCCTGGCCGTATCAGCCACCATACCTAATGCTAATGACGTGAGTAACACCGTGGTTTGAGCAGGGGCGAAATTATAACGTTAATTAAAGGAGTGTATATTGATATATTTAAGGTAATTGAAAGAAAATTAGCTTTCTAAAGCAATCAGCAGGGCATAACTAATTATATAAATACACACCCCTCCCCAATTAGCGTTTTAGGCCCAGTTCAAACGTCGCATTTTACATGCGCCGAATCAAATGCGAGAATTATGTGCATGTAAAATGCGACGTTTGAATCAATTAAATTCGACGGATTTTAATTTAATGCGACTTTAGTCGAATATTCGACTGAGTTAGTCGAATATTCGACGGAAATTCGAATCATATTTGAAATCATATTTGAAATCATATTTGAAATGCATAAACTCAACATTTTTCTGTTCGCCATTTTAGGAAATTAGTACAAGAAAATGAATAAACTATGAAAAAGTGGAAGCATAACTATAATAAATGCGACTCTTAAATTCGACGTCTGAATCAAACTACGCATAAAACTATTTTAGTCGACTAAAACTCAGATTTGATTCGGCGCATGTAAAATGCGACGTTTGAACCGGGCCTTAGTTTCTTATCTGGGTTGAGAGCTTGACTAAAGACATTATGTTGACTACATTATGTTATTCCTTTCAGATAGGAAAATGGCTTGGAACAGACGATGATCCGGCAGCAACATACAGGTATTGCAACTTCATAAGAGTATTAGATAAAAATTGTAATTCGAAGATTTATTAATTTCATCCAAACAGTCAACTAGAAAAATGTACGGCTCTTACTTTAATTACAGGTTGATAAACACGCTAGAGAAGAGTGCTTCATCCTATATTTAGCACAGTTTGCATATTTTATATGCGTAATATAAGAATTGAACATTAAATTTCAAAGTACCATCGACAAACAAGCTCCAAGAAATGTTTTCCATACATACAAAGTCTAAAGTTTTGACACAAGATTCCTTTTGATAAGCCCTCGGAATACATAGGATAGCTTATAGCTTGTTTTAACATCACACGAGTTATGAAGTTCATAACTCGCTGTATATCTAAGGGAACTAAAGCTAAGGTAGCAATGTGGACTAAAGTGGATTTTCGGTAGCAATGTGGACTAAAGTGGACTGAAGGTAGCAATGTAGCTACCTTTCAAAACAATGTAGCTACCAATTAAGTTTCCATTTCTGAGCTTTTCTTGTGAAAAAAAACCTACTCGTGTTATAAAATAATGAAAATAATTAGTGAACTAATCATCATTCATCTCATTCATTTCTAGTAAGGACGACAGCTATCGGCCAGTAAAACTACGCAAAGTTGTAATAGGCTATCCTTGTAACAACAACATCACCAACTTTCGATTTGATCTTTCATTAATTTACAAACTGAACAGCATCATACAGACATACTCCGAAAACAAGCCAACATTAGTGGTATGTGTGAATTGTCCACAGTTTATTCATTTCATAGTGAAACGACAAAATGAAATGTCTTGATTATTCTTCGAATCGATCGTGATATATGTATAAAAAGGAACACTTTACGGTGGTTTAAGGTTATCTGCAACATAAAGTGCGCTTGCATGCAATGTTTTCTATTCATTACATAAATTCTGATCGCGTTCAGACGCGCACCAAATTTTACTCAGTTTGTGATTGTTGGGTTTTTTTATGGAAGTCTGGCTTCATTTTCTTAAGAATTTTTCAACCAACAGAATTATCCTCATGGTATTATATATTTTACGTAAGGCACTATAATAATTTTATAGAAAGAGTTTAACAAATTTAACAATTCAAAACATGTATTCGGTTTCGGTATTTAAATATTAAATATTATTATTATTTCCATATTGTGAAGGAAAGGAAGTCGGATGTGAGTTTACTAAGCAAGATGAAGACACTAAATTATCAATTAAATGAAAATGATGAAGACGTCATTATCGAAAATGGTCTGCTTACAGACATTCACATTGGCAAGACCCAAAATTTGTTGAAGCAACAATTCCCAAGCATCCAAGGCCTCCAAGCAACAACATTAGGTATGGTGCAACAGTTTGATGTCATGAAAGGTAAATTCATTCAAGTTCTTCACACTGGTGCAAATCACTGGATATGCATTAGTAACATTCATTGTAACCAAAATAATGCTGTTAAACTCTATGCAGTATGTACTCAGGAATTAGTAACACATTTAAAAAGCAAATTGCTAGTGTGCTATACCTTCAGTCAGAAAATGTTATCGAAATCTCAATTGAGCCAGTCACCCAACAGACAAATGGATATGACTGTGGTATATTTGCCATTGCTTTTGCTACATCATTGTGTAATGGACAGGATCCCAGCAAGATAACTTTCAAAAGGAGGAATATCCGAAGTCACTTGTGGAATTGTTTTACTAAAGGCAAAATGCATATGTTTCCATCTGTACCAAGAATGTCAAGCCCTGAACAAACATCACACAAGGTTCTTATACCAATTTACTGTAGATGTCGCCTTCCATATGTCAGGGAGGAAGATGACATGGTTGAATGTGTCAGTTGTCAGAGCTGGTTTCATAAACACTGCCTTGATGTCCCGGAACTATTTTTTAAAAAAGCAGAAATAAAATGGAAATGTAATCCACATTGTGGTCAAAAGAAGTAAAAACAGGTTAAGTGTGTGTTATGTGACTGATAATGAAAGTCGATTCTTCTTCTGAATTATTAGTACTTTTAACTATATTGCAATTTGTTTTAACATTTGTTATGTTGTAAAATTGTAGCGAGAGACTTGCCGAGCGGAAATCGAATACGTGTGATAAAAATTAATGCCCAACATAAAGTTCTGATTAGAGCCATAGAAATAGACCAAAAAAAAACAAATTGTAAAATTTAAATTTATTGTGACGTTTCGTCTTTACTCAAGACATCTTCAGACAAATAATAAATAGGACGTTAAGACAAGGTATTATATTTACAAAAAGGTGTTAAATTACTACTAAAGGAAGCGGTGTCGAATGGATACATGATAAGGAAGTTTGGAAGTGAAATGAAGAGAAATTAAAAGAGGTTAAGTGGAATGGTTCACCGGCATACACTCCCTTCAAATTCGCACACAAATCAATAACCTTTGTGCTGCAGCCTTCCCACATATATCCATTAAATTTGTTTTCCGCCCTTCTCAACGTATCTCTTCTTTCTTCCCCTTTAAGGACAAAATTCCCAAACCTCTGAGATCTGGTGTAGTCTATTTATTCAAGTGTCGAAGCTGCAACGCTTCGTATGTGGGTCAAACCACACGTCATCTACACACCAGATTTTCGGAGGGAATATCCCCCCTTACAGGCAACCAAGTTTCCCACCCTGCATCATCAAGCATTCTTGCTCACATTAACGCAACTGGACTGGACACACCCCCAACTTAGACGACTTTAAAATAATCTCCTCTTCCAACGATACTTATGAACTCTCCATCCATGAAAGCCTTCTAATCAATAAACACAAGCCTTCACTTAATGTGCAAGGAAACTCCATTCCACTTAACCTCTTTTAATTTCTCTTCATTTCACTTCCAAACTTCCTTATCATGTATCCATTCGACACCGCTTCCTTTAGTAGTAATTTAACACCTTTTTGTAAATATAATACCTTGTCTTAACGTCCTATTTATTATTTGTCTGAGGATTTGTCCTATTTATTATTTGTCTATGGTAAAGACGAAACGTCACAATAAATTTAAATTTTACAATTTGTTTTTTTTTGGTCTATTTCTATGGCTCTAATCAGAACTTTATGTTGGGCATTAATTGCTGCCACGCATCAGCGTGGCAGCACACTAATCTTGACATGTCTCGGCCCATTCCTCTACTCGACCTATATAGAGGTAAAATCTCGATTTTTGTCGTTCTGTCTGTTAACATTTCCGGGGGGGATTTTTACGGAATGAGGGGGGAAGAACAATCACAATAAGGTAGAACCTTTCGGAACTCCTGTCAGTTTCTCTTTGATTTTAAATGTCTGGAATCCGAATAGATATGCGGCCTAAACAACGTTATACAGTAGATACCAAAATCGAGTGATTACCGACATCAATTACACGTATCTCGTTTGGCGAAAAACACATGAAATCGATTCACCGTGCCGTATTTAGCCAGCTCGGTTCACATTTTTTATCTTGCGCTCTTTGGTCAGACGGTGAGCAAAATATAGTGTAAGCATGTATTTATTTTCGTTCGAGCTTTTATTACTTGAAATATCGGTGTGGATTTAACAAAACGTCAAAAATAATTTAAACGCATGGTGCGAGTTCAACCATGAGATATGAATTATGAATATGATGAAACGTTTGCTCTTTGCGATAACTATACATCATTTTATCGCAGTCGCACAGAATCATCGGAAAAAAGGTTCTATCAAAATGTTATAAAGGAAATAATGGAAACAAAACTACAGTTTTATAATATAGTCCGTTTCTACGTTTGTAAACATGCGGACGATTGTTCGGTTGAGTAAACAACGTACATACTTTTAATCAAAAAGCATTTTAAAAACTCAAAAGAATCAAAACAATCAAGACATTTAAAAGAATCAAAAAAATGTTTTCATTCAAAATGGCAAGGAATTTATCTTTTAATTTTATGATGAAAACGTATGACTGACGAGAATCGATTGAGCATTGAAGCACTCACCTCCATATAAGGTGAACTGCGCGTCGTTTGTGCATGCCGATTGGATAGAAATTGGAATGCTATGATTAAACGATCGTGACTAAAACACCACACGAGTACATACGAGTAACATACGAGTACATACGAGTGATATACGAGTACATACGAATAACATACAAGTACTTACGAGTAACATACGAGTACATACGAATGACATACGACTATTTTCTGGTCAACAAATGAGAAACAACACAATTTCTTCAATACATTGATATTTGCGTTTATTTTTCCTTGTATTTGTGTGGACTTTGGGGCAACCATTTGATGGATTTAAATGCTGAAAAGGTATTTTACTTTCATACTACATTCATTTGTATGTTTTAGTTGAATTTGTTATAGATATTTTGTCGATGCGATTTGCCAGTATTTGAACGCTTTTTGAAACACTTTCACCTGGGAAATACATATTTATGAAAGCGATTAAATAAACAACGTATAAATAATGCTTTCAAAACATGCTACATGAAATAAATTTACATTATATATATTTGAATTAAATGAGAGTTGCACTGTTACGTATAGTCCTGAGACGGACTGTTTTTGTTGTTGTCGACTGACGTTTCGACAACCTTAGCGGTAGTCATCTTCAGAGTCAAAATGAATGTATAATCGCTTTCATAAATATGTATTTCCTAGGTGAAAGTGCTTCAAAAGCGCTCAAATACTGGCAAATCGCATCGACAAAATATCTATAACAAATTCAACTAAAACATACAAATGAATGTAGTATGAAAGTAAAATACCTTTTCAGCATTTAAATCCATCAAATGGTTGCCCCAAAGTCCACACAAATACAAGGAAAAATAAACGCAAATATCAATGTATTGAAGAAATTGTGTTGTTTCTCATTTGTTGACCAGAAAATAGTCGTATGTCACTCGTATGTACTCGTATGTTACTGTATGTACTTGTATGTTTCTCCAGTCTCTCTTCCTCAAATTAACTATACGCTAATTGTGAAAATACCCTCAAATTGACTCTATAAGTCAATTTGAAGCGTCCATTATATTATATTATATTATATTATATTATATTATATTATATTTGAGGTATTTTCACAATTAGCATATAGAGTTAAGGAAGAGACTGGGTTGGTTTCAGTATGTACTTGTATGTTACTCGTATGTACTCATATGTTACTCATTATGTACTTGTTACTCGTGTATTGCGTGTGGTGTTTTAGTCACGATCATGATTAAACATGGCGAGTAAACCATGCATCATATTGTATTGGTTGTATTGCAAAAATTGATTTGCTAGACTCAGGTTACAATTATCTCTCAGGTTACAATTAATAAGGCGAATGAGCTTCACAAAAGCAGTCTAAAAGAAAATGACACAAATCAAACAAGAAATCATGCCATGTTTTTATTTCAACCTAAAGAACAAAATCAGAATTGTGAATTGTCTTAAAATATTTAAGCAAACAAAACTTTAAGCTTTTGACAAATATGAAACATTTTCAATAGGAACCATATGTCTTTTCAAAGTCAAAAAACTTTTCAAGGTTAAAATCTGTTCAAATGTCCACAATGTTTACATCAACCATGTGGCTTTTTACAGAATCATATTTTACAAAATCAAATTGTTATTGGCCGAGTTCTAAATGACAATATGCAAATTTTTGTAAAATGAGCTTTGAAAACTGTTCATCCAATTATCCCATTTTGAAATTAGCATAATTATACATACATACAGTGTTACTTCTTGCATCTACTTCTATAAATTGATTTATATGACAATTTGAAAATAAAAGATGACACAATTAGCTTGTCTTTATGCAATGACAAAGTATACGAGTTGTTGCGGTTTCTTGCTGTATTTTTATTTTTACCATTCATTATTGTATTGTTTATGGCAGATGATAAATGATGGAAAACACGCAATAGCAGTTTCCAAACTGTTTTACCTTACTTGGTGGAGGGGCAGCACTTCCCTTGCGTTAGTAACTCCTAGTTGTTATGTTGTATTCTTAGAGGGGTAAAAAAGTCTGATTATATCACAAGAAAAGACATTGTTACAAATGTGCGTAATTGTTGACAGTTTTTGACACTACCTAGTTAAATCATTTTATGTTTGAATGAACTCAAGACAATCTAAAACTGTTAAATTACAAGTCTATTCAAAAGTATACGTTCAATGTACTTCGCAATACAGAATGAAAAAAAATGGAAATCACAACAACAAATTTATATGTCAACGGTATCTATGAAGCATTTCATACGTAATTCAAACAAGATGCCATGAAATACCAATAAAGACATAATATTTTAGCTAGCAATAGCTGCTCATCTCACCTTTATAATGTCTGGTCATTACTTCCATACATGTCCTTTTTAGAAATACCAATTTTCGTTTCAAGCTACATGGTCTTAATTTATTTCGGCCATATGCCATGGTCTTAGTGTTTTGGGTATCCTCACGGGGGATGCCCATAACACTAGTGATTTAAGTACGGGGATACCCAAAACACGGGGATACCCATATCACTGTGACACCGCTTTTGGTTGTCAAAGTCAGCGGAAAGACGCGGGCTCATAAAATGAAATTTTTTTCGCCCACCCGGATTTGACAACCACAATTGCGATTATATAAAATATCAATGCCAAGCACAGAAACTTTAGAAATTTTATCTTTAAAACATGCTGCAAACTTGTTTGGTATACGGATGCTGAAGTAATGCCAGAAAAGGAAACATTTCATGACACCGGTAAGCATCGTAAGATTGTTTACTATTTAAAATGTTCAGTGTTTTGTTTTAAGTCAATACTTGAAGTGTGATGGTATATATTTTGTGAATGTTTTTACTCCTAAGTTATAATTTAAGTTATGTTTATCCAGTCTTATTTGTTCTTTATTTAATCGCTTGCTAGACGAGGCAAAGCAACCAGTTCTTATCGAGATATGCATATCTTAAAACTCCTTGTTTCAACTGAGTTGAAATGGAGGATTTTTTCATGATATATTTCTGAAAATATGAAGCAAATATTAAGGACAGAGCTGTATTGAAATCAAATGCAGTGCAGGATTAATTAATGGGATCTTTGGTACATGTCGTACAATAAAAAATACCTGTATTAAACAGCTAGCCTGGACAATTTGACAGATTATGGACAATCATAATGATGGTGTGTAAAGGTTTGCTTTATGCTAAAAGTTTTATAAATGCCATCTGGTGTTTCTGTAAATGAATTGTTTGTTACACAGTGTAGTAAACAGGTTAGTACATCAAAATCAAGATAAAAACTACTTTGTTCAATGATGTGCCAAATTTTGCTCCTACCTTGAAATATTTGCTCAAGAAAAGCTTATCATGGCATGCATGAAACATTAAATACAGTACTGCATCATCTGACAAAATCCATACAATTTTCAATTCCAGGTGATTAAAAATTTACATAAGATGCATTGGTTGCAATGAAGTTGAGTGTGGAAGAAGCTAAAATTGATGGCAAAGAACTTTTTATGTCTATTGAACAATTACGATATCATTTAAAAGAATAAGAGTAGCAATGTAGTAAAAGAAGCGACATCTGTCTTCAACATGAGACTTTTCCAATTATGTATAGTTACTTTGTACAAAATACTATTTTAGATAAACTTGATTTTTAAGTCATTCACTGATATTTTTACCAAAAGACAAAAAGAAAAATTCAAAGGCATAATGTAAAATTCAAAAATTTGTCAAGTTGTTTGAACCTAGAAAAAATTAGTATAGGTAACTGTAATTTGTACAATTTGAACAAGAAAATGAATTTGGGGATTTGGTAAGTTTACATATATTGTAAAACTATGTAGATATAAAAATACGCTATGTTTATGGTTTTTTTTCATTTATATGTAGAATGAACAAAGTGAAGATATTGCTGAAAATTATGACAAGCACCAAGAGTTAACCACCAAAACACAGGTTTTTAATGTACATATTGATATTGTTTCTCATGAAAAGTCATTGGAAATGGCTATATGTAGGACTGCTTTCACTAGAAAAAACTAAAAAATTTTGAAGTAATTTAAAGAAGGCAAGCATTATTTCAACACTTATTAAAAGTATGTACACATTTTAAATTAAATAATGGTCTTTATTTGTAGGATTCTGAAGATATCTTTACCAAGCAATCTATCTCTATTATTACAGAGGAATCTAAACAACCATGTCAACGTAGTCAAGTAGTTCTCACTTATACAGTTATACTTTATACTGTTTACCACTAGTCATGTTTTTAATGTGTTATAAATTGACAATATGCTTGTTGATTGCTTATGCATGAGACACTGTGTAGCAAAACTTTATTAACATCTCGTAGAAATGTGCTCAACAAACATAAAAATATATTACAATAGATATTTTGAAACAGTGAACATTAATAATTACTGTATACTTGCTCTTTCAGAGTCATTTGTCACCCACTGGCCACTATATATTGTTACAGTTTGACTTTGCATCAAATGTATCATCAGCAATCCTTTGTTGATCATGATTATAATGCAAACAAAAGAACAATTATGGTGATGTCAAATTTTATTTCCATAATTTCAATGTTGGGTATATACCCAACTAAATGATATTACTCAATACTCTTTTTTTGGTGCTATAATCTGCATGTATTTTTTTCTTCAGCATAATTCATTTGTAATTGTTCTTCGATATCCTCACCTATTGCTTGATGGCTATGGTTGGATATTGTGCTGCTCATGTGATGCAAATAGAAAGCAATTTGTTGAATCCCTACCTAATAATATACAATTAGATCCTCAAAAAGGTATGTAAAATAGATGTTACTGAAATGAAATTATTAAAACAGGCCAAACAACATTTTTATACTTGTCAGATATACCATATCCCAGTTGCATACATGTATTAGCAATGGAAAAATATCTGGTTGTGTATGATAGAAAGTTTGGTACTGAAGCCAAAGATTTTATTGAAAAAAGTAAGTGTTGTGTGTTACTCTTTCAGGATATAAGGTGTCTGAACAGCTTCACCAAATTTTGACTTACACTTACATACTATTTGTTTGAAGACCCTTGTCAAAGATGTGAGAACTTGTTACATATTAATCTGACATTGCATGAAGTGAATGTCTCAAATTTGTATTTGGCTTATTTTTTCAATGTAAAGTTCTTCATGTGGTATGGGAGGAAATGTCTTCATCCTTAAATATCAGTTTATTGTACATTTCAAACCCTTGTGAAGTCATCCTTCTGTGTTTTTACAAGACCCTTGTTCGACATTGTTCTTATTACATGTGGACGTTAACCAGCACAGCTTTACAAGCAAAAATATTGTTAAAACTTGTGAATGATTATTTACACAACATATTTATCTCATCGAATTTCTTTTATGAATGCAGAATCCACATCCATGATGCAGTCTGTTTTCAGTGATCATTCCTACCATGAGATGCGACCTGAAGAAGTATATTTTGTTAATAACTTTTTTGTACAAATACACATATAGTTTCTCAACCTTCTAATACCCCACAATTTGTTACCATACATCCTGTGCCTAAGTTCAGGAGCTTCTATATAGCTATTAGGGTGATAGCCAACAGGGCAAATTGAATTTATTTATGACTATTGAGGTATACACATTCATACTCAAATACATACATAGCCACATACCTACAGTACATACATTAAGTAGTATAAACTAAATGTATGATAAAAATAGTAAAGTCATATTCACCATTTGCTTTACGTGCCTGATATATATATTAAAGTGCACATACAGCCTTTCCAAATTCGTTGAACTTTTAAAGTTTAGACTGTGGAAAATATGATTTCGAAGAAAATTTCGTAAAAAAAATAAAAACAAAGTTTTTTTGGCGGTTTGAATTAGCTTGCTTTTGAGAAATTTCTGCGCCTCTGAGGGGACTTAAGGTGGTCATATACAAATTGAAGGCACTATTTTTTCTAAAAACTCAAAATTTTTTTTTGATCATTATCGGTACTTTATGCTGTGGTTTTTATGAATATTCTAATCGTTTTTCGTTAAAACTATCATTTACCCACGAAAAATGCTTTCCAAGTTGTCTTCTTATAGTTTTTGGTTCATAGCAACGCCTTAGCAACGGATTTTTACCCAAATTTCACCCAAAAAACTCCCCTTCTAAAGCGAATTTTTTGTTTCTACGTTTGGTGGATGTTATTCAAAGCCTTCTCGTTAAGTTACATCGTGATTGGTTGCAATTTGGCACCATGGTAACTCTTAGAATTTCAAATCAAAGATGATCGCGTGCTCGCATTGTTCGAAAAGTTGCTCTTCAAAAAACATTATAATTTTGTATCTCTAAGGCGAAAAGTCTTTTTGTTAGTATTTCGGACCTTTCCTTTTGTTATTCCGATAATAATAAGAGTGAAAAATAATGGGGAATAGTCGATATAGAAAGAGAAAAGCTGTTAGAACTCCGCCATCAAAAATGGCAAAGAAGTCAAAACATGGCGGAAACGATGACGCAAACCCTGTCCCTTCTGGAAAGAAAATAAGTCATCAAACGTGGAGCTTTGGCGAAACTTTTAATAATCTACACACTGCAAAAGAAGGCACCGTGTTTATGGACTTGTCTTTGCTGTTTTTCAAGAAATTTTAAAAGCCCTGATTGCGAAAGCAGTGTGAATCCCATGTTGACTTGAGAAAGAAAAGGAAAGGCTATGCACATTATATTGTTCTTCAATGTAAGAATGAAGAATGTGAGTGGAAGTATAGTTTCAACACATCTAAAAAGAAAGGCTGTTTACACGAAGTTAATGTCCGAGCAGTCCTAGCATTTCGAGAAATTGGTTGAGGGAAAGCTGCAATGTCACATTCAGCAAGGTCATGAATATGGCTCCACCAAAAACTTGCTGAAGCTTTACAGTGATCCAAAATGAAAAGCTATTACCAGTTGTTCAACAATTGGCCAATGACAACATGCTCAGCAATATTATGCATGTTAAAGAGGAGAATGGAGCACCAGAATGTGGAATATCTTTGGATGGTACATGGCAAAAGAGAGGCCATGATATGGGAAAGATGTCCGAAGACCACATATGTTGAACAAGAGACTGTTGCTCTTGCTACATACTTGGCTATACTTAAATTTAATGATAAGGACATAAATTTGTTAAAGATATTAAGTGAACTGGACACAACTCCTGGAATGTTTCCAAGTAAAGGGGCTCAACAATGTGATCATCATCGGATAAAGTTGTCGGCAAAGAAGAGCTCAGAGAAGGTGAAGAAGCAAAGAAAAACATTAAGAAACATTAGAAAGAATTATATTAACAATGCTAAACATAAGGAAGGAGTTACTTATGAAGCTGGCAATTTTTAGGGCTTCCAGAGGTATAATATAGGTTATGTAAACTTTAAATGCTGTTTTCTCATTTTGGTGATTTTAGTACGTAGTAAGAACTTTGTGACATCATAATATCTTTGTTATTTGTCTGAGATGCCTGAAATTTTGTATATTGAAGGCTAGTAATATTATCTAGTGCTTGACATTTTTCAAATTTTGAAATTTTGCATTGTTGATGAAATATTTACTCGTTATGTCATAAAATGTGTACCAAAAATGCAAAATTACTGAAGAAAATCAAATTTTGGAATATATTTTTTTTTATAAAGAATTAATAAAAAATTGAAAAGTGTCAAGCACTAGATTATGTTCTAAGCTTTTAAAAAAAACTTTACTCATAGAATTTGGATCATTGGTTCCCAAGATATCATGTTCAAGCTAGTTCATTTATTGGCTAATTAGTGGCCATGTTGTTGGATAATTAGTGTAATTAGTGATTTTCTAAAATTTTTTTTCCATTAGTGAATTCTCTTCATTAAAGTCTTTCAAATACTGATAGTTTCTTATAACGTCATTTAAGGAACGTATGAATGCGCTGCATACAAAACAACACAGTGTGAAATAACAATTCTTTATATATTGCTTTGAAATTAATATAAAAATTGTACGAAACATGTCGACATCCGCTTCTGAGTCGAGTACAACAACAACAGCGGAAAATATTGAATTGAACAGTCGGGAATTCGATTTAGAAGACGAAGATCAATCGTCATCAAATGCACTCCGAAAACCGATGGCGATTTTGAGTACGGCCAAGCTGCAGCATATGAAAACGAACCACTTGCTGATGATGAGTGGTTAGAAAACTATAATAGAGAGACAGAAGAACAAAGACGCCAAACAGAAGAGCTCGAACGCAGAATGCAGAATGAAGTTCCTCTTGATTCTTGGTAAGAAAAGTTGGAAAATTTGTTTATTGTTGCCGAAGATTTGGACAGATAACTTTCTTAGGTGCAATTGTGGTAACTGCCGTGTTCCTCTCTTGGTTAATCCAAAAGAATGTAGATGTTGCCACGAAATTATCAATTGCAAGATTGAAATGCAAGATCATTTGTTGGTATCCGAATTAGGAAGGCAGCCAAAATGCTTCACAGAGCATCCAGGAGGTTCAGTGGATTGCTGTAAAACCAGTGAATAGTCCATGGGGGGTTTGTACTTTTGTGTATTCAAAAGTAACACCGCCCCAGCCCGAGTTAAAATGTTGCAGCTGCTTGTCATATCATTGCATTCATGTGACAACCCTTGCAATAGCCATGCAAATCGTTGAAGAGGATGAAATGGATTCTCCATTGGCACTTTTTAAGTTTTCCTTTGGAATTACACCAGAGATGTGAGACTATTTTGAATTGGCTACACTTAGCAAAGAAAAGGTTTCTTTATTTGAAACAGGTATGCAAGATAATCTGCAAGGTGAACATCCTTTTAGCTTTACATGTACTATTTCCTTTATCGGTATGGTATTTAGCACTTTTTATCATTTTGTAAATATTACAATTTGATTATTTGAGGAAGTGAGAAGAAAAGAAGGATGCTGGTGTTTGTTGTATGCAGATGACATTGTCTTGGTGGCGGAGTCGAAGCAGAAAGTCATGGAATGGTACCGAGAATGGAAAACGGCAATAGAAGTCAAGGGACTGAAAGTGAATGAGGCAAAGACGAAGGGCATGAGATGCTCGAGGCAGGTGGAGGTGAAGGACAGTGATAAATGGCCATGTGGTGTGTGGGGAAAGAGTTGGAGTGAATTCGATAATGTGGAAATGCGGTAAGTGGGTTCATGGAAGATGTTCAGGTGTCCGTGGTGCATTGACAAGAGTAACTGATTTTGAGTGCGGGACGTGCCGAAGTGGTGGGCGAGTCGCGATTGAACGGTTTGAACTGGGTGACGTGAGTTTGGAAGGTTTATCCGAGTTTAAATATCTGGGCGATGTGTTAAATGATGGTGGAGGGTGCGAGCAAGCGGTGAGGAACAGAGTTCAAGCAGCGTGGTGGAGTTTTAGAGAGTTGTCGGGAATGTTGTGCGGAAAGTCGACTTGTTGAAGCAGAAGGGAATGGTTTGGGGATATGGAGCAGAGTGTTGGGCGCCGAAAGCAGAGGACCTGAAAGATTGGCGTCGACGGAAAGGAGAATGCTTAGGATGATGTGTGGTGTAACGTTGATGGATAGGATTCGAAGTGAAGAGATTAGAAAGAGTTGGTGTTGAGTGTATCGAATTGGGTAAGGCGCCAGCGTTTGAGGTGGTTTGGGCATGTGGAAAGGAGGGAAGAAAGTGCTGAAATTCGTAGAACGTTGCATATGAATGTTGATGGAGTACGCAAACGAGGTAGACCGAGAAAGAGATGGATGGATGCTGTGAACAGTGATATGAAGGCGATGGGTATAACGAGAGATATGGCAAGAGATAGAGACGTGTGGCGTGGAAAAATTCATGGACCGGTCAACCCCCCTGGCGGGGATTAATACTGGCCGGTATATAAATGTTGTTTGTTTGTTTTGTTTGAATGAGAATGATGCAAGCGATTTTACTGATCTTCCTGAAAAAAATGGTCATAAAATTTTGGCGCCATCTGAAAGTGGTATTTGTTCTTGTGGTGCAGAGTGGGATAAACGTTCTATTCAAGATGAATGGTTGTACGTAGGCGTGTGTTCAGTTGCGTACTTTTATTCAATCCATGATGTGAAGGGTAAGTTCTGATTTGTTATAGGTTGCGCTTTGCTTCATAATTATTTGACTTAAATAAATTATTTAGTGTATTGTAGACCTTGCTCCTCTTGTGCTACGAAAAAGCATTATGATGGCATTGAAAACAGGATTGTATGGTTTGGATCATATGCAATATCTCATGCCGTTCTAAAAGTTACATTCGGCTTTTCATAACGTTGAGGTACTTTTTAATGAAAGTTTGCCGAAGCATTAGTAGCTACGTTTGTCCATTATTTAATTTTCTCGCCCTATCTCTTTTGAATGTTTTTTCTTTTTTATTCTTGTCAGTTTACCTATGTACAAATATTATGTTGCGTATGTACAAAGGCAAGTGTCTTCGGGTAATTTTAATTTCCCAAAGGAAACAACTTAAGTTTTGTCTCACTATCATTGCCATGATACGGTAAGCATCATTTCATTTTCAGCTGTAAAATATGAATATTCCATTGAGATAGTGATCGCTTGTTTTATTAAGTTATTGAATTTTCTCTTGTTAAGGTTGCTTAATATTGATTTTGACAATGGGTTTTTTTGTGAATTATGTGGAAGAATTCCCCAAAAGGTGGTGATGGATGGAACAACTCTTGGAATACAGAAAACTTTCTTACCAAATAATTTAAGAGAGTCTGATACTGGATTGCTAGATGGAAGATAAGTATTTTTGAAGTTTATCTGTAATATATAGTATATACAGGTCTGCTAA